AGAGAGAGAGAGAGAGAGAGAGAGAGAGAGAGAGAGAGAGAGAGAGAGAGAGAATAAAAAGGAGAGGGACGTGAGCCTAACGAGGGACCCCTTGTACGAGCGACGAGATAATCCGAGATTTCGCGAAGTAGCCCGCGACGCGAATAAATCGTTCGCTCCGATTACACGCGATTTAAACGAGATGAGGGAGGCCTACGGCGCCGGCGGAACGCGTCTCCCTACGAAAGAAGCTACGAACGAAGCAGAAGTAGGTGGAATCGATAGGGAATATCGTGCAATAATACATTAGTCGTTGCGCGTTTTTGTGCGTATCTTTTTTCCTTTAAAAAACAAAAAAAAAATTGCGACATAACGGCATTGTTTGGTGCGGGGTAGGCATTGCCGAACGAAAATTGCACGCTAAATTCCGTGCAGCGCGCGCGAGTGAGCGAGTGGACGCGCACAGCGGTCTCCATTTCGACCCAATTGACCGTTCGATTTGGCTCGCAGAATCGAAATCGGGCTCGATTATCGTTCAAGTTTCAAACTCCACGAAATACTTCCATTAAACACCGGTGATCGTCATTCGCCGAATTGCGGCGGTTAACGGCCGGCGCAGTTTTATTCCGCGCGCCAATGCGGGAGCCAGTTTAGACAAGTACTTTATTTCCGTGCGCTGTCTCTCTCTCTCTCTCTCTCTCTCTCTCTCTCTCTCTCCCTCGAAACGAAACTGGACTCTTTAATAGACGGTCGCCGAGCTTCACGCATCAAAAAGATGCATTAACGTAAAAACAAAAATATTCGGTAAAATTGGGATATTAGACAAAGCGAATCGAAAAGAGCATTCTCGTCGAATGTAGTAGAAGTGAACAGTCAAAATGTACGCGTGTGTACATGTCTTATGCACTCGCACATGAGATGCGCAACCTTTTACTAACATAAATGCAAATGCAAATTATTTTTGGTTCTAATGAATCAAATTCGAATACACTAATAAGAATTCAGTTTTTAAGGAGACAGAATTTTTTATTCTTATAAACCAAATTCGATTTAAAAAATTCGATTCTAAGGAATTTTTGTTTCTTAGGAACCAAATACCTTCTGAGATTAATGAGATAATTATATCGCGGATTATAAATCGGACAACGTCAAGTTTCCTTAAGAGGAAACTTATGAATATTGCAATTGGGGTAGAAGAAAGTATTAGATCCTTGAAATAAAATTATTTGGACTTCTGTAGTATGATATGTAAAACATTGAGAGAGAGAGAGAGAGAGAGAGAGAGAGAGAGAGAGAGAGAGAGAGAGAG